TGTGGTTTGGGTCTTTTTTTTTTCTCTGCTCTGTCCGGTGTTGTGGGGGGGGGGGGGGGGGGGGGGGGAAGGAAAGTAGGGAAGCTGGGGTGGAGGATGATTTTACATTGTTTTCCTCATTACAAATGAGCAAGTTGTCAGTCCAACCTAGTGTTTCCTGTATTCGGATCCCCGTTCACTTTCTAAATCTCTGTCCCTCACTCTGCTACTCGTGGTTGGGGTCTAAAACTCTGCAAACTCCTTTGCACACTTCTCTGTGATGGAAACTCGGATTTCCTCTTCTTCGTAGTCATCGAAGTTGCTCGTATCACCAGGACCTTTGCACTTTGGGATAAAAGGAGCTTCCACCTGCAAACACACAAGGTGGCAAATATAACAACATACTGAGTCATACAAGAAATCAGTCCCCCGTCCGCCCCCAACAAATGGATCAAACTGGGTAATTAATCACAGCCTACATTCACAAATTTCAGTGAGATCTACTGGGATTTGAGTGACAGACAGTGAATGTTCAATGATGAAGCGGAAGGAAAAGGACATTGTATTAGAAAGGATTTACAAATGTGACGAGACGACACATTCGCGCTTTTAGATAGATTTTTACCCAGAATGCAAATGGAAAAAACCGTGAGTGAAACGGTGACTGGGACTGACTGGTATATATTCCATTGAGGGAAAGTTAGTTTCACATCTGCTCAAGAACCCCCCTGGTGGTTGAAGAAAAATCCACATATAAACCGGAAAATACAATATATGAAAAAAATGCAAGGGCTGGGCAATACAGCTTCAAGATAAAATCTCAGTTTTTTTTTTTTTTCATACCAAATCCCATTTTAATAATTTATTTCCCTCTCTTGCCCTTTCTTGAAGAGAAATTAAAAATTATTGAAATAAAAGCAAGTTTTTCCAAAATATTTTCTGTCATCCCTTCCGAAGTTTGACCTGAATTCAAAGTCTAGCAAAATACAAGCTGCAAAACAAGATGGCAGGCCCTGGGCAAGCGGAACTATGGAAACACCAAGGAGTGAATCAGTGGACAAATAAAGACATCCTTATTTTCCAAAAATGAAATTTTTACAAGCAGCAAATTTAATTGATAAAAATTGATTTATCGATAAAATTGATTTATCACTCAGTGTCTTCTGTAACTCTTTTCCTGCTTGAAAATTTTTTTTTTCTTCCAAACTTCTTGGGGATCCGATTCAATTTAAATAAGAATGTTTTTTCTGCTCAGCAGTGGTTTTTATCTTTAACTCCGCCATGTAACCTTTTAATGCCCACTCTCTTTCTTATGGTGGAGGCATGACCTCTGACCTTAACTGAGGCAAGTGAGACTGTGGATCTTGTTGGGGTTTTTTGTGACCTCTTGGGTGAGTCATAGTTGCGCTCTTGGGGTAACTTTGGTCGCTCAAATCTGGGAGGCTTCCCCTCTGATCCATGTTTTCAATCACTTTTTCACACAGGAACGTGCGGGTTTGGGTTTTTATCTCCCTTAGTAATAAACACCTTCATTGTAAAACTGTATTTTGAGTTTACTTGTGTCGTCTTCAACTAATATTTAAATTGGTTTGAGGTTCTGAAACACCTACGTGTGGCAGATGTGCAGAAAAAAAAAAAAGAATCAGGAAAGGGGGGAACATTTTTACACTAGAAAAAAATAATACATGGTTTTCAACACTTTCTTTAGGAATAAAATCTGAAAACGGTTGGCTCCAACACGTACTTATAGAAGCACTTTTTCTTGCAACTACAGCTGGGAAACATTTTTTGTGCGCACGGATTGAAGCTTGAGCTTCTTCAAATTCGCTGTAACACACACCGCTAAAAGATCTCTGCTGCCAACCGCCATCACCATCTACAATAACTCTGAGGTGCAACAGTATTTAGTTTTCCTTTGGGATCAATAAAGTATTTTTGAATTTGAATTCTAACAGATGTATGTACAATAAATAGGTGACTTCCAAAAGCAATCATTTACAATGGATCTCATTTAGTGGGATTAGAAAAGAGGGGGCTGAATATGTAGACGTTTCTTTGTAAAAAGTTTGGAAAAGTAGTTTTTTTCCCTCATATTAGTCTTTCAATTGGTACTTATTCTGCAAGAGCTGTAATTATCATAGGTTCTTTGATATTAATAATTTTAATTTCTTCATGGTTTAGTAGTTTGCAAATTCACAAAAATCCTGTTGGAAGCACAGCTAGATCTATTTCCACTTATCAAAGTTTATTTTAAACCCCATCTTGTTTTGTCTAAAGGCTTTTCTCTGCCTCTGCAACACAACACCCTCTCCACACAATGCGAGAAAAAAAAAAAAAAAAAACGACAGCCCCACCTTCCTCTGGTAGATGGCAATCCAATCTGTGGTAGCAAACCACTTGTGACCCTTGATATCGTTGACTCCGTTCCTGAGGTTGCCGAAGCGTTTGGTCAGGTCCACCTGCAGCAAATTTCTCAACAGATCCTTCAGGTCTGAGCTGAAGTGGGACGGGAAACGAACCTGCAAACGGCAAACGGGGCATTCATGACGAAAGCGTTCCCAAACTCAGAACTGTTTGCGGGAGCAGTATTGTTTTGCAATATGTAAACACAAAAATTATTTTCTAAAATGTTTATTGACATGATGGTGGTAGATTTTACTTAAAGAAATGTCAGGTTAGTCGCAGGTCCTAAAAACGAGTTCCGTCTGCATGCTACCACCGAAGTAAGCAAAAATGTTCACTTCCAAAAGATAAGTGAGGATATGAACCACAGTAGAGAAAATAACTTTCACAGGAATTAACATAAAACCACTGTGACTAAAATGGAAGAGTAATTCAGCAAAAATGTTAGTTTTGGAAATTTCATACAATTTCAGTGATTCCCCCCTTGCCCCCCAAACTTTTTTCCTGATGGAGGAAAAAGTTAACTGATTTCAGGACCTGATTATTGAACAAGATTTGACAAAATTATCCAGCTAAAATCGGCAGCATGTGGGTTTCGTAACAAAGAAAAGGCCTAAATTAAATATAAAACAACTGAGTCAGCTCTAGACCTCCCAACACAACGTGTAAAATTAATTTCACGAGGAATGATACAACTGCAGCTGAAACACCGTCACTTCAACCGGCGGGAATTTTGATAGCAATGGGAAATAAATTTTCACTGTCAAAAACAAGACCGTGTGATTAATGTGACTTTCCCTGAACTCACCTTCCCCGATACAATCTTTTCATAAATCTGAATGGGCTGGTCCGCGAAGAAGGGAGGGTAACCAGCAGCCATCTCATATATCAGAACCCCCAGAGCCCACCAGTCCACTGCCTTATTGTAACCCTGAAAGCAGAAAAATACAGAGCACATTTAACAAAACCCAATATGACAGAGGAACATGCTACTGAATTTCCTGCAGGACTGTGAGCTGCTTCAAATGCACTGAGCTCAGCACTTACTTTACTGAGGATGATCTCTGGCGCCAGGTACTCTGGAGTCCCACAAAGCGTCCAGGTTCGGCCTTTCACTCTTTTTGCAAACCCGAAATCTGTTACCTAAAGAGAGTGGCAGAGAAGGCAGGTCAAATCTCCGATCACATGCTTTATACAGACGAGATAGAAATTGGTATCGATTGGATGTGGTGGTGGTGGTGGGGGTGAGGGGATAAAAGTAATTGCGAAAATCTCTATGTACCTGTATGTAGCCCTGCTGATCAATCAGGAGGTTCTCTGGCTTCAGATCTCGGTAGATGAGATCCAGGGAGTGAAGGTATTCAAAGGTCAGTACAATCTGGGCTGCGTAGAAGCGGGCGTGTGGTTCACTGCAACGCATACAAGCCTCAATATTTACAGTCAAACACAGAATGGACTTAAACGACGTGGCCTGAGCCGATTCAGAAAGTGAACTCACCTAAATCTACCAATCCTCCTTAAATGTGAGAACATTTCCCCCCCAGGCACGTACTCCATCACCATATACAGATTACTGTTATCCTACGGCGAGACAGCAAAAAGTGTTACGCCAGTGGGTGCAGAAAACGATGCGTTCACACTTTAACAAATGCACAGGCACCGAGGCGCACCTTAAACGAGTGTTCCAGTCGCACCAGGAAGGGGAAATTGACAGCTTGCAGGATACGTTTCTCGTTCAGTGTGTGTTCTATCTGCTTCAGTTTCACTACCTGGGAAACAAATCACGGAAGAAGGCTTAATCGCACATCCTGTTTCGGCTTGAAATAATAAAAATAAAAAAGGTGCTTTTCAAATCAATCACGAAGGATTAATTTACTTAAAAAGTCGCTATATATTAGTGCCATCATCCAAGTTAGTTTATAAAACTAGGACAAGCATAATCACGATTTTAAGAGATACAGTCAGAACATGAACATGGTCAGTCAAGTCAAGCCGTCGCTTTATTTACAGCTATTTTCTGACTTGGAAGTCGTACATCAAGCTTAATACCTACCTTTTGTTTGTCAAGTATCTTCATGGCAAAATGCTGTCCTGTCTCTTTGTGTTTAACCAACATGACGCGCCCAAATGACCCAGTGCCTAAGGTCTTCAAACGCTCAAAGTGATCCAATGCTGCAGTTTGCTGAAAGAGCAGAGCAAAATATCAGTAAGAAAACTAAACTAGACACAGAAAACGAAGTATATTAAAACGAACCCTTATTAAAATAAATGAACAGTGACATCGTGCAGCTAAGGCTTAGGAATTGATGTGTAATTTCACAAATGTCCAGCAGAGGGTGTTCTGGTCTTGTCAAATAAAAAAGCCAGCAAATAACCAATAGCTGGCCAACAGCAACAAGCATAAGAAAAGCTTAAACCAGGATCTACTCATAATTAAATTATATATATATATATATATATATATATATATATATATATATATATATATATAAACAAAGAACATTTTCTGTGTAGCTTATCTGTATTATCTTCACAGTCGAAGAGAGAACAGCATAGACACAGTAACAGGAAATGGACTGATCATCACTAACCTGAGCTGGATTCTCCCATTTTTTCAGGAAATCTTCTTTGGCTTTGGCAAGAAACTCCTTCACTGCAAACAGAAACAAATACAGATTTGAACCAAAAACAAACAAACAAACAAACAAGTATAGCAACAAAAATGAATCAGAGGATGCTCAGAGATGGACACTCGTTTGTGTCAAAGAGGCAATGCAGAAACTGAGGTGAAAACATAAGAAAAGAACACCAAAAATAAACGACATACTGAATCTAACTGAACCTGTGACTTCAAGTATTGTTCAGCAAACTAGGAGACTTAAATAAGCAGGAAAGCTTTGTGACTTTGTAAAAAAAAAAAAATTAAAAGTACCAAGTCAAGCTGCAGACTATAAGCTGAATGTCATGCAGGGGGAAAAACAGGAATTGGGAAGTGTAGTTAGGCCCGTCACCACAACAACTTTTGCTGGACAATAAATTGACCCAATTATTGTGATGAAAAAAAAAAAAAGTTATTTGACCATCTTCAAATAACATATTGAAATTGATATTGGCATGATAATGCAAGTTCACGCTCTCAAAATCAAATTTTTTACTTTGTAAAAACCACTTGCATTTTATTTTATCCAAAACAAAACAAAAAAAACAGAAATAATAAAACAAAGCAAAAAAAAAAAAAAAAAACACACCCATGTACCACCAAAACCATAAATAAAATGGATTATGGTGACTATAAACAAAAGTGACATAAAAAAAAAAAAGCATTGGATGGAAATTACCGAGCTCATTTTAATTCACCATGCAATTAATTGATTAATTGCTTATTGTGACAGGCTTAACGGTAGTTCCCATTTTCACCCCTTGGCTGGTTATTTACAGCTCCACATGACCAGAGTCATTTTGTATGCAGATACTGGCGTGTGTATCATAATGGCCCATTGTTCTGAGGACGTTGGCTGTTTGAGTAACACCGGTGACAAAGAAAATCTTAAGCCAGACTCCTGAGATCACATTATTTTTGTGCTGATAAACACACAACAAACAACTAAATGAGGGTTAAACACGAGCAGTTTCAGGAGGACGACGACTCAACCCCTGCTTGAATTTGTGGATCGGTGGAAAGTAAACATTAAACACACAATTGTTAGCTTAAAGACATGTACGGCCGTGGACAGATTAATTACGACTTGGCACACATGTTGTCATATGGAGAAGTTCAGTTTTGCCCCTTATCTTTATGGGGCTTCTCACAGCGCTCTGTGGGAACATGCAGATAACTAGCCCTTCCTCATTCCTCCCCACCATGTGAGCACCGGCCACAGTAACCGAGGGAATAGTGCTATTTCTACCGTCAGCCTTGGACAGACGACCACGGAACCTAGAAACAAAGAGCTGCTGTTAGATAAAGGACTATACAGCTGCTAAATTACTCGAGTGAAGTAAGACTAACAATTGCAATTGTGTATTTAATTTAACAAATTTGAAAAAAAAAAAAAAAAAACAATGGAAAAGAATATTTATACCATCATAAAACTACTTAATATTGACAATCAACAAGAAAAACAGCAGAACGATAACTCTAGTTAAGCCTTTCATGATTATGTACATTTTCTATCTAGCTAATCAATGCCTAACAGCTGCCTAGGGCACTTTAGATAAAGTCGACCAGTGGTCAACAAAGTGTAAGTGAATTGTAATTCATTTATCACTTTAGGGCTATGAATGTTTACACGAATGATAATCTCGCATTATCTTTGAATGGGAAAACTCAAACTGCAACCAAAGTCCTCCTGAATTGGAAATGAAAGCCTCACGGCAACCAAACACAAAAACCTCCATCTTTGCTTACGTGGTCCGATTTCCTGCAAACGCTCTAAAGACGTTCAGCTCCAACAATAGGATGGGAGAAAGCCAGCAAAAATGGCAAAGACTAAAGTTCACGTAAACATGTCAGGAGCGCCGCGGCTCCCACAGAGAGCAAATGAAAGCAGAGCCGGTCGCCAGGGAGAAAACATTTCCCGAGAAAGTTGCTCAACTTCCACTTCCAGGGAGAAAGAGCCAAAAATGGAGCAATTACTGGACTATGCTGGAGCATGCTGAGGAAAAAGAAGGATGTAATGGATGGAGGATCGGCAGCTGTCCTGAAGGATGCTGGGCTTCATCTAGTCGGCTTTTCTGTAGATGTCAGAACTACTCTGGAGCTGCAAGTGAACAACAAGAAAAAAAAAATCCCTTCCCACTGTACCCTGAAACTCCTTACCATCTGGGAGGACTATGGGTACCTCTGGTGCTGCAGCCTCTGCTGAGCGCGACCCAGATTCGCTTGAGCGCGAGGATGACTCCCTCTTGCTTGCATGCCTTCTGGAGCTCTTCCTGTCACACATTAGCCTTGCAAAGTCTCCCCTGTACTTCTTCCTTTGCTTCTTCCCTCACAGCTAGTGACTCATGACCTGTCCTCCCCCTCGGAGAGCTATCTGGCTAGATCAGCAACCAAAACCTTGACGAAAACCAGTCGGGTGTCCTTGCCAAGCGGACAAGTGTTCAGGCTTTCCAAAGACTGTCACTTTGCCGGAGACCGGGTTTAAAAAAAAGTAGCATCCACCTCCACCGAGCAGCAGCGCTCGCGTTAACACTCATTCAGATCAATTGGACCCTTGCTTGGTTTGTATCAATATTTATTCTGTACACAAAGTGCTCTCTGCTGTTCCCTCTCATGTTAAAACACACACAAACACACATGCACACACACAGAGGCTATATATTGATCTAAACAGGGGCATAATCACCAGGGGGAGGGGCATAAAACACTAGCTGGTATATTAGACCGGCCCCGAGATGAAGTCCTATGGAAAACTAGGCCCGAGTAGAGGCCCCAGAGATGCAGCAGACACCAATAGATGCAAGTCAAACTTTCCCTAATTAGCAGAACCAATCAGATTTCACATCTTTGATGACAAACCTTCAGAGATGATCTGGGTGCTTTTCAAGAAACATAAAAAAAATAAATAAATAAATAAAAAAAGCGGCACTCTCAGGAGGGAAGCAAAACAGGAAACTGTCTGCCACACCAACTTTTTCTCGAAGCCCAAATGTACCACAGCCTACATAGTGCCAGTGCTGAATTGATCCTCCAAAAATCAATCCGACATCTCTCCCCTGGGCCTCACTGGCCCACTCTGACGCAGAAGCAGAAGGGTTATATTAGGGCAGGCCGACTGACATTTACACCATAAAAGTGTGGAAAATCAGGTCTCAGTCGACAGCCAGTCTTGGTCAGATGGAAATAAGGACAATGTGGCGCAGAATAAAATGGTTAAGGCGGCAAACGGAGTGCTATTTAGGCTAGAAATGTGTTTGCCAGTCTGCAAAGTTGAAAAATCAATTTCTGACATCAGCTGCATATAGCCAAGGGGCCCTTACTCAAAAACTCACCAATGGAAAGTTGTTTTATAATCTAATGTCCTGAAACACGGTGGCCAGAAAAATTACTAACAGATCAGAAACACGGTAGCTCATGAATTTCTCATTGGTATTCTGCTAGTTTCATTTTTATTTTAACTTACATTCAGCCATCTGAGGACAGCCAGAGAGTCTCAGTTCATAAAAAAATATTTTTAAAGAATGAATGTTAAGAAATAACCTCATTTTGCCACAAACACAGCTAAGCCAGGAAACATGCACATCTATAAGCCATGGCTCTACTTATTACAAATAGCACTGAAGTTGACAATGTATTTTTAATAATGCTTTTGTCAAATTAGTATAGCAGACAATTTTGCATCATAATTTATTTGTCGAAGAAGTACAGTTGCTAGGGTAGGTTGCTATGGTTATTTACCAACTTCTGGTTACCTTTTGCTAGAGTCAGTCTTCAAAGCAACACAAGATTCTTAATGTCTCGAATTAACAGAGTTCAACCACAAAAACGCAGCATGTATAACATTTTCTTTTACTTTTTTTTAATTGGCTAGAGCCATAAAATGAGAGGGAGATGATGCTGGTCATTTCCCCCAATGGGCCGGTCAGTCGACGTACCACCAGCCATACGTCAATTTGTACCCACAGGCATAGAGCCAAAATGGGGCATTGCTAACTTTTAAAACAGATAATGTTAGATTATGCTGCTGGACATTTGCCGATACCGGGTTTTTGCTACTACTCAGCTTCGTGGTCACTACACTGCTCAACAAATTGGATGAGGACGTAACATCCTTCAGCTTCTCCTTTTTGCCTGCCGCAAACATAGAAATACACCCAAGCACCACATTGACCTTCGCCTTTTCAACTAAAGACATCGTCGTTGTGCTAAAGTAGTTTCAGTGGGTGATTTCACACGTGATAGTCCAGTAGGCTTTTGGGGACCAAAAGTGCAACACTTGTTACATTTTCACCTGCTGAGGTTCACTTTCATACTGCACTGTGTCAAAAGAACCAAACCCCTTGGAAAACCTGTTTAAGATGTGGAGTGGCGTCAGATTTTAGCAGTTGTGGGGTGAATGCACTCCGGCTTCCAGAACCAGCTATAATATTCACATACTGTTCATTTTGACAGCCTTAAATACAAGTCAACTTGAAGTTAGATAGGAATATTATTCTCCATTTGTCCATTTTCAACAAAAGGTCAACTAGAAACACAGTTTTCCATTCATGACTAAACTGAGACCAGATATTTCCCAGGTGGGTTGTTCCAACGAAACAAAAACCACATGGTCACACATAAGCATAATCTAATAACACATTTCTGGTGACTAATTTGATCAGCTTGGGGCTGTGGGTTAAGATGAAGCTAAAGTTACCACATGATTTGTAAAGACCAACTTTCCTGCTTTTTAGGAATCCAGACAATATTTATTAATCTCATAACATCCAGATAAATAAGTCACACTTTTCTCAGACTCTATGCTCCAATAACTCATCAATATTGCTTTTTCAACAAGTGATGTCGGTGAATGGTTCCCAACAGCTGATATTTGATCAGCACCATCTAAAGAAAAGAACATTTTGAGCTGTTAACAGCATCTCCACATAGTAAACAACATGTCTGTTCACATATTGCTGATTAATGGCCTAGCTCCATTTTCCTACAAATAAAAC